GGGGGGGGGGGGGGGGTCGTCACGCCCTTCTGCAATGTGGAGGCGGCGCACTATCAAACACATGATGCGTGGAATACCACCGGCCTACAGGACGGATACAACACCAAGAGGGCAGAAGCACGTCTGCACCACCAATTCTAAGGGCTTGATCGCCATCGTCCGTTCATGACGGAAACTCGTGACTCGGCCGGTCAAAATGGCGGCTCAACTAGCCGAGGGACTGTCAACAAACGGTCCCAAACAGCGTGGCTGCCCGGAATAGGCTTCGGTGGACGTGAAAATTGTCATCACGTTCTCGACAGGAACAACTCGCACACATGCGGCAAAAAAGCAGGAACAGCGCATTAGTCCTGCTGAAATGGGGTTTGTAATAGCGAATAGACCAGCATCAACGTTTTGATGTCCTTGTGCTGGCGGCCCCTGGAGTTCGGCGCTTAGACAAAAAACATCGCTAGACGTTACTGTCAAACAACAAAATAGTATTACAGTACACAAAGCGAGAACGATCGGTACGGTACGGTAGGCACGGCAGGAGGAAAGTCCAAAACTCTTGTGTAGCCCCGGTTGGCACCAAGCGCATACATGTATTCCGAAACGTGTAAGGACTTCGGAAGTATACGGCGTCCAGACAGAGTGAGATGACACACACACCTACCGCTGGCACCATAACTACGTGTTTCATTGGTTGTAACCGGTCAGCGCCGTCGATGCAAAATGAAAAAAAAAAAACATGACACACAAGTATCCCTTGGACTAGAAAGCTTATTCGACCAAATAATCCCGCTATGTTTTGATCCCGCCATGATGCCGGCGTGTTTCCATTGGTCATTCGGTTAGCGCCACCAAATGATACCAAAATTCAACAGATCCCCATATGTATCTAGGATCTTCGGGCAGGCGACGGCCAAAACGTACGCTAGAACAACAAAAAAAAGGCTCTTGCTCTGTAAACTCGAACTACAATGACACCAACAATCCACCCGTTCTCCACCACCGCCACTCGCCTCAGTGAAATTCGATTGACCCCACGGCCCGCAGTCCTGACAGTCCGTGCCGTCGGCGCACAATCCCACCGCTCGCCGGTCGTCGCACACCCCATCTCTTGCGAACCGGCACGTGTTGGTGCACTTGCCGTCTTCTGCCAGCTGCTCCGACGAACCAAAGACACAGCGCAAAGAAACAAAACCACGGGGGGATGGCAAGGGGTTGAAATCGATAGGAATGATGTTTGTTCCACGAAACCGTAGTCAGTGGCATGTTTCCCTACTCATGGAAGGGAAGGGAAGGAAGGCGACGGGGGCCTCAGGGAGTGGAACCTTTTCGTGTGATTGCCCACGGATTGGCACGCTCCTATGTACCCGACAGCAATGCTGCAAATGCTGATCACAAGTTATCGACAAGGGGAAGAAATAAGCTCAGCTAAAGACTATTGTAGCTCGGGGGGCAACGATACAAAAACGAACAAACCTACGGCAACAACAATGGTGGCGAACAAAGATAACAACATCAACAATTACATCAACAATTACGTCAACAATTACATTAACAATTACATCAGCAATTACATCAACAATTTCATTAACACTTACAGCGACGACGGCGACCACAACAAAGCAAGACTAACCTCTAACCCGCAGTCCGTGCAGTCTGTTCCTAGTGGGCAGCTTGGGGCATCTGCCAAGATGACATCGTCCGAGTCACCCCCTAGCATGGAGGAGCTTCCCAGATATGCCCTGAAAAAAGACACGAATGATGTCGTTGGACATAGTTCCGTTAAACGAGGCGTTAGTCACGATGTCGTCTCGTGCGTTAGATGATCCAAGGTACGCCAAACTATTTCCATCTAACGCTACTGCGGCGTGGGAGTCGTTGATTCGTCTTGCACGCCAAACGATCCAAGCTACGAACTACTTTCTGTCCACTTGTGCTCAAGTACAGCAGTGCCGGACCACCCACAAGAAACCCCTCTTTCGAGAGGGACTCAAACCGTACTTCGTCCCCACTACCGTAGAAAGGCTTTCATATGGTAGGAATTACTGAAGCGCCGGCCGCTATGCTCGATTTATTAAGGCACTTTCTAGGCTCCTATGTAGTAATTGATGTAGCGCCGGCAGCTGTACTCAATTTCTTACGGCCTTTTCCCCAAGTCTGTCGTCTAAAAATTGAGCCTCGGTTTTTGACGAACATGTTTCTAACGAGCTGGCCGGCACCGTATTATCAATTCATACGGTAGGCAATGGGCAATGTCCCGCGTGTAAAAGACCATGAAGACAACAGTGTAGGCACCAGTGTAGCTGTGATAGTCAGCGATATCGTCTGGGCCAACCGCAGTCTGGTAGGCAGCCAATGCGTACACATCAACGCCTGATCATCTCGAGTGTGTTGCATCCCAAATTACAAGAGGACACGCCGATGGCCAGATCACCCTGCATCCCACGAGCGCACCCCGCAAAACACAAAGGACTGAGTCGCCGAAAGCTTGATTAGCTCACCCACGCCTACGCGCGGCTCGATTCTTTCAATATTCGTCAATACTGAACTATTTCCTGCTGTTGTCGAGCTTGGTTAGCATTTTTTACTGCAGCCAACGTGATTCCCTACAGCGGTATTCTAGGAGTATACACGCTTGGCCTCTTGGAGCGTGTTTGTTGTTTTCTCAAGAAACGGCGCGTTCCTCTTCGAAACGATACGTCTTCAAACGCAGCCATGTGTATGATTCCACCCGCCTTCTCGACGTAGCTACGCGGTATCCCATAGTGGTTATGCGGTATCCCATTTTCCGGTCATCGTCACGCGGGCAGTATTATAGTACACTGAAGACGTCACCTGCTACCGCTGGCTTGGCTGGTGGACGACTCAGACTCTGCATTGCTGTCCGTCATGGCGCCAAACCAGTTCAGAGCCTCCATTCCGTCCTAGAAAGAAGTGGAGCACAAAATGAGCACAAAAAGAAACACACAAGACGACATGACGAAGAGGATAAATGAACATAGAGAAGAAAGAACAACCCAACTCGTCGCGGCACACAGAACAAACAACAGCGTTGGAGAGGAAGTCGAAAATGCAACACCCAGACAGGTACAGCAGTATCGAGTTTTCTGGAGGGATGATTGGCGGGAACGTCGGTGTTCGTCAGACGACAGCAAACAAAAAAGAGGCCGCGAGGACAAAACCATACACGAGATGATATCCTAACTGCTGTCTTGTCGAGCCTGTTAGATACCCACAGGGGAGATATCGCTGAATGCTGCTCACGGAACCGTAGAAACACAAGTTGACCATCGTAGAACACCATGAATGCATTGCTAGTCTTTCACAGACAATTTTTATCTGTGGAAGAGATGAAGTACAAATTGTTGTGTTTTCGTCAGATAAAAAAAAAGTTTGTATGACTCTTGTCTGTGGAAAAGATCACATTGCTGCATTTTGTAAGAAACAAAAACAAAAATACTAGAAATAGTGTACCCGGATTTCGTCGCACTGCCCGTCATTGGCGTAGACGCAGCTGTCCTCGCAGTTGAAGGTAGCGTCGTCCTTTCGAACCTCCGCGATCACGACTCCGCCTGCCGCATGTACGAGGCAACGAGCCAAAACAGCGCAAGCGATTGATTGAGTCTGAGAATGCCTATTGTTT